TGTTAGAATTTAATGATTATATTAATTATATTTTAGATTTTTTATATTTAAATTGAGATGTTTATCCTGTATTTGATTTTGTTTATCTGCAGTTAGTTACACAAATTCAGATACGGGATGAAATCGGATATGGATGAAATCGTTTAGGAATGAACGGGTTTATGAGTTTTTAAGAGTTTTAAGAGTTTTTAAGAGTTTTAGCCAAATGCTTTATAAGATAGTATAAATATAATTTAATTTAAGTTTAATAATAAAACAATTTATTTTTGGTTTAATATTATAAATTATATAAAGATAATAATTAAGTATTCTGTTAGAATTTAATGATTATACTAATTATATTTTGGATTTTTTATATTTAAAATGAGATGTTTATCTTGTATTTGATTGTGTTTATCTGCAGTTAGTTACACGAATTCAGATATGAGATGAAATCGGATATGAATGAAATCGTTTAGGGATGAACTGGTTTAAGAGTTTTAGCCAAATGTTTTATAAGATAGTATAGATAAAGAAAAATTGGAAATTTTCTTAACAAACCACATGTATCAAAATTGTAGTTTGATCTAAAAAAAATCATGGTAAAGAGAAAAGAGAATATAAGATCCAATATGATTGGCCTCCCCTGCTTTATAGCCTTCTCTCTCACTTGTTTCTATACATGGAAATTTAACAACGATCCCCAATTCTCAACTTTCCAATTTCATAACCAATAATCAGAAGAAGCCATCCTCATTTATGATCCCATCCTCGCAATTGGATCCGCCATGGAAACGTCGACCACCACAGCGCAAACCCAGTCTGATAAGAAGAGCCTCCTTAAGTCCTCCTCCTCTATCACCAACTCCTTCCGTCTTCGTTCTCCTTCTCTCAACTCTGTCCGCCTCCGTCGCATCTTCGATTTGTTCGATACCGATCATGACTCCCTCATCTCCGTTGACGAGCTCAGTCGCGCCTTGGTCCTCCTCGGTTTGGAAACTGATATCCGAGAACTTGATTCCATGATTAAATCCTACATCCAGCCTGACAATGATGGCCTCACTTTCGATGACTTCCAGGCGTTGCACAAATCCCTAGGCGAATTGTTCTTTGAGGATGCAGTTGGAGACGATGAAGACACGGGGAGTTATGATAGTAGGAAGCAGGAGGAGGTGGACCTGACTGAAGCATTCAAGGTGTTTGATGAGGACGGAGATGGATACATATCCGCAAAGGAGTTGCAGGTGGTGCTTGAAAAGTTAGGGTTTGCAGAGGCGAGTGAAATGGGAAGAGTGGAGATGATGATATCATCAGTTGACCGAAACGCCGATGGAGTTGTTGATTTTTCGGAATTTAAGGAGATGATGAAGAATATTGCTCTGAAATAATTGGTCTTATTAGTTTACGGTTTTCAGGTTTTCCTTTTATTGTGTAAATTTGTTTAATGATATGTTGCAACCACAGATGCACAAAAGGCTGAAAGGCCAAGCCGGTTATGACTGATCCGATGAGGGCAGTCCGTCTTTACCCGTTGGTTTATTGTTTTTATTTTTATTATCTTTTTAATTATATGTCATCAATCTTGTACTAGAAAAACATGTTACCTTGTTCGATCAAGAAATAAAGTTATATTGCAATTTTCTTTGATACCAATATGCCTGTAGACTTAATCCATCGAATTAAGATGAAGACGTCGGTAAACCGAACATGCAAAAGGAATTGAGGATCTTCGGGGTTGAATGGCGGCACATGCTCGTATTCTTGAGAATTCATATAATCATATCTTTGCTTCACGTAACATCGTACGATCTAATTAGAATTAAAGCCTTTTGATAATTGTTATTTTTATAGAAACAAATTGCAATAGAAAATTACGTATGAAATGAATGTATATTCATTCAGTGGTTGGTTTCTGAAAATGTATATTTTGGAACATATTTAAAAAAAAGAACATGTTAAAATATAGATTGAAATTAAAATGACTTTTCAGTTTACAAGCAGTTAAATAAACATTTTGAAACCATATAATACTTGAATATTCAAGGTAACCCATAATTAAACACGTATTCTAAAAGCATGTTTTCGAATATAACAAATGAATGCAAATACTTAAACATACTATATCTCTAAAAGTAGCACATACAAGTATATATGTATGAACCTTCTCGTCTTTATAAAGTGTCAGTGTGAAAAGCCAACTTCAAAGGGCGAGGTCGAAGAAATATTTGGGTTTTTGGTTTAAAAACAGACTGTAAACAGATGGAAATGGTGCAAAGTTTGATTAAGACATAAACAAATTAATTCAATAGAAAAATATTTAGCAAAAGATTAGATTGTTATAGCAATAACTTGCAACATCCAACAATTAGCTTTTTGAGGGCATTCATCGAGGTTGACAAAGACATTTATCTATAACTTAACTCTCATATTCCTATGCCTAGTTGAAATCTAGACATGGCAAAAATCTATCCCATTTCTAAGCTATATGGAGTGAAAGACAAATTTTGCGCCTCTAAACAACTCTTTCAAATATGTTTTCATATCATTCAAATTAGGGTGTTCTTGTTGACATTTTTCTAAGTCCCACACTATAAAAATGAAAAGTATCAGTGAGGGAAAATGCCCTCGCAAATCCATCACTAAAAGGGTCTTCCGTCGTTGATCCATCGCTGATAGTCCGTTGGTCAAATGCTCGTAGGTAATGCTATCAATGACGGATCAGTGACGGAAATCAGTGACGAATTTGTGCGTGTTACTTTCAGCGACAGATCGGCGAGGGAACAAATTCAGGGACAGGTCAACTAGGGAACATTCAGCGACAGATCAGTGAGGAAACATTCAGCGACAGATCAGTGAGGAAACTTTCAACGACGGATCAGCGAGGGCACTTTTGTTGGTCCCAAAGGGTCTACAAGAATACTAAACAGTTTG